ATCGCCTTCTCGATTGCCACTGGGTCGTGGGGCGGCAAGACGGTGAAAACTATGACGGCACACTCTCTGGGGGTGGCCGACTGGGCAACGTGTCGGGAGGAGCTGTTCGACGACTACGTGCCCACGACGGAGAACAAGATCGAGCCCCGCCCGAAGCAGCCGGTGGACATGCTGAAGTGGGCGCGACAAGCCCGCAATGGGATCTGAGCCGCTTGTCTGTCTTACGGCACCGAGCACTGGGACAAGAAGGAGCGAAACGCTGGACTACCTCATCCGGCACCACGAGGCCAAGCCGAGAAAGTACACCGCCCGCTTCGTCCAAGACGCCTGGAAGGAGCTGAATGCGAGGTGGTGGGAGGAACTGCGCTGGAAGGTCAAGGAGGTGCAGAGATTCTGCAACAAAGAGCTCATGCGCAAGGAAGACTTCGTGTTCGCGGCGCGGACGCCCACCCCTGAAGGCCCCCCGCTCCTCATACTGCCTACGACGTTTGAGGTTGAGGACCCCGAGGGGTACTATCAGACGACGATCTTCGACCGTCTGGTCAAGACAGCCGACAACGCCTACTGGGACAACGCACACCGCGCCCAGCTGCGGCCGTTGGCGGCCGGAGGTGTGGACGGAGGTGAGGAGCAACCCCTTGTGGTGCGTCTCCACAGGGAACGGTAGTCGGCGGTGGTGGCGGCAAGGGCGGAGCATTGTCAGGAGGCGGCGGGACTGGAGGCACCAGGGCCAGAGGAGGCAAGGTTAAGCTCCCGCAGGAGGTCCTGACAGCGTTGATGGGTCCAGAGGTCACGGAGTCCGTCAAGCATGGTCCCAATGACTCCAAGGGGAAGCCCAAGTGCTGGGATGCGACCTGTCATGATGGGTGCTCGAAGACGGCGACCACCTGCCAGAGGTCCCATGCAGAGGGGATCAAGAGCGCTGAGCGGACCCACTGGACGGTGAAGGCGCAGTACATCAAACGCGGCGGCCTGAGGACCGGCCCAAAGGTGAAGGTCGAGGATCGGCTAGCGAAGATCAAGCAACTTCGAGCAGACGCCCAGAAGGAGCAGGCCGCGAAGGTACAGGAGGGCAAGGACCAGGCAGCTCAGCGCGGAGGCCGCCAAGGTGCCGGGCTGCCCCACTGAAGCACGGCCGCGCCTAGAAGGCAGGAGGCGGCAGCGGCACCCCCAGAGGAGTACGCGGACATGGAGTACACCACCCAGGAGCGTGAGCTGCAGGAGCTGGCGCAGGGGCCCGACGGGGGGTGGATGCGGGACTTCGGGAACCAGGAGGCGATCGTGTACCCCAGTGCGTTGCCGAGCGACGTACCGGAGGTTGCGAAGGCACACCTGGCTATGGCAACACAAGTCCGGAACTCCCCCGAGGCGAAGTTGGTCGCAGGAGCCCCGAACCGCCTGAGCTCCTATTGTCACGGACGGTTACTGGACGGGCACCTTGGCGGCCAAGCTACCACAATCGAGGAGATCCTGCAAGATGCAGTGGAGCTCGGGGGCGAGGAGCTGGCGAGCCAAGCGCGCCCGTTCCTGGAGTCGCGGGTCGAGCGGGTCGGCGGCGAGCTGGAGGGCCCCGAGGTCCACGTGGGAAAGGTCGTTTGGGGCTCGGCCGAAGAGCCTGGTCGAGGCCGAGTCCATATCAAGGGGCGCATCTGGGACGTCCTCGACTACCGGGATCGGCTGGCGGTGTCGGAGGAGCTGGCGGGCCACCTTCCCGAGTGCCAGGTCGGCGAGGCGGAGGAGAGGCAGTGCGCGTTCATCAACACGGCGGCGGCTCACCTCAGGTCGATCGGCGACGGGGACCTTACAGTGCCAGCGGTGATGGAGCTTGCCCAGCACTGAAGACTCGCCATGTGGGAGGAGACAAAGCAGGCGGAGACATTCATGGGGCCTCCCGACGCCTACACCCCAATCACGGAGTCCGACGTGCGCATGTTCTGCCACGACGTGCTGCACGTCGGCCACGACGAGGACTACAAGACGTTGGCAGCTTTTCCTCCATCAGCGTTGAGCAAGACGGCAGTCCACGTGGCGCGGATCGACCCCTGGGGCCGGGCGCGCCTGGAGGTCATCGTGGGCGAAAAGTACGACCAGAGGTCTGGCGGCCGTGACGTGCGGATGCTGCTCTACAAGGGACACCTGAAGGTCTTGGTGCCACCTGATGTGGATTCGGGCACGCTGCGCGGGGACTTCACGGGCGGACACCCTCCACACGAAGTCGCGGCGGCCGGTTGGGATGTCTACTTGGACGACGCGGCTCGGGAGGATGCGAAGGTCCGGGGCGACGTCGCAAAGCGATGCCCGAGGTGTCGGGCGGCTCGGGAGGCAGGACGGGAGCGGAAAGCTGGAGAGCAGGACATCAGTGGCGAGGACCCGAGGTGGAGGATCCTGGGCAACTGGAGCTGTCACTGATGGGATGGACATATGGATCTGCGAGTCGTAAAAGGACAAGCGGAGACGGGGCTTTTCTCCGGGCCGCGACCTCACGGGCACACGGTTGAAA